AAAAAAAAACAAAAAGACGTACATCATCGCACAACACATCACGCAGTCGCAAATGTGCACACCAATGCCTTCCTTCGCCCGGCACGAGTGGTTAAGCGGGGCACAACTAGCATAAGCAGCAACAGCAACAGTAACAATAACAACAGTAGCAGCCATACTCCACGACTACACCACCCGCGACTGGCTCCTCGTCTTAGCACCGCCGCTGCTCTTTACCACTGCCGCCGGCTTCGTCGGGGCGGGGCAGCCACCCTTGTCACAACTGCCCTTCGGCCGCTTGCTGTGGCTGCGACTCTTCTGCTCCACATTCACAGACCGCCCACACAAGACGACGCTGGTATCCGCACTCCCAACAGTATCGTAGTACACCTCGCTGCTGCTGGTTTTAGAACGCAGCGGTGCACCTCGCTTGTTGGCGCCCATGTTGCCAGCACTCGCTGACCGCGTCTTTCCTGCTCCTGCTCCTGCTCCTGCTGCTGCTGCTGCTGCTGCAGTGCTGACGCTGCTGGGACCCGTTGTGCAAGCGTCACTGAACAGCAACATTCGCGTAGTGGCGCTCTGCGGAAGACTACGTCTCCTGCCCCCACGACCCATGAGACTGCCGTTGCGACTACTCTTGCCAGAGCGCATACGCTCAAACGAGCGGAGATTGTTGGCGTCGCCGTGGTCCGCCGTCCCGTGCATGGTGGCGTACAGCGCAACGAGCATGTCAGAGGACAGCACCACCGCACCGTCACTGCTACTGCCGCCGCCGATGTTGCCGCCACCACCGCCCCAGAGGCTCCCCAGCAGCATTGCAGAGCTGGAGCGGCGCATCGGCCTCTCGGCCACCTCCCGCCCAGAAGGCGTACCGACGTGTGGCAGGCGGCGCGGGCTGCGTGTACGACAGAAATTCAACGCGGGTGCTTTTTTCTTGGCCTTCGGTTGCTTCTGATTCACGCTATGCTTCTCTGCTTGCTGCTTCGGTGGTGGCGATGCCACGGACGAGGAAGAGGAGGAGGACGAGGAGGAGGCGACAGACGACGATGACTGTCGCAGCACCTGCACCAGCGGCAACGACGCAGCGCCCCCCAACAAAGTGTGGCGGGCCAAAGGTGAGGCGGAGGACGCCGTGGCGGTGACGGCGTTAAACGGCTCACTTGGCGGCCGAATCGATGGGGAACGACTGCCATTGCCGTAAGACCTCTTGACGCAGCGGCACCCATCATCTTTGTTCTTGTCACTGCCGTCGCCACCGCCGCCGCTGTCGCCGTCGTCGTCGCTAAACAGCGNTATCGTTACACACACAAATTCATTTCCTCCATCCTCTGCATCAGCAGCAGCAGGAGTGGGAAGGGGGCGCCGTGGCAGCGAGATGGGCCCAGTGCCGCGCCGTTCCACAGGCCGCGCCTTCTGTTCTGTTGCTGCTGCTGCTGCTGCTGCCACATCACGGTGGCTTGGCCCGCGGTACGGCGACGAGAAGCCCTGCTGCATGCGTATGTGTTCCTGGCGTGTCTCACTCGTTCGGCTGCGGCGGTACCTGCGCCCATCAGTGACGTTACTGCCCTGAGTCCCTTCGGATGCCTGCTCCTGTTGCTGATCTACTTCTCCTTTTTCCTCGCGATATTTGCCTGACTTTGGTCGCGATTCCCTGCTATTGTCATCACCGACAGCATCACCACTATCGGACAGTGAGACCCCCAATGCTGCTGCCACTGCTGCATCCGATTCGACCTTCAATGCCGCACGTTTCGCGCGGACTTCAACTAGACGCTGCAGTTCCCGCCGCATCGCCATCCATGTGGCTCGCGGCAGATGTTGCACTTCCGCCGCCAGCTGCTCGTGCTGCTGCTGGGTGTGCTGCCGCTCCTTCTGCCGCGTCGCCGCCTCTCGGACGAGTGTACTGTTCGTTGAACGAGCCGCCATTGGACTCCTCGAGAGAAGCGGCTTCTGCCGTGATGCGCCGCGCTGCGCCGCCGCACTTCGTGCACCCGTCTTGACCTGCGACGCCGGCTTCTCGCGCTGCTGCTGCTGCTGCTGTTGGTTTTTTGGAGGAAATACGGAGGATGTGCGTACAAGGCCACTGCTACGACTACCGGCAGCAACCTGAGAGGATGAGGTGCGCAGGCGCGCCCCAAGACTGCCCGTTCGTTGCCCCGCAACAACCTCCGTTGTCGTCACTGCCGCTCGCGTCATCTTGCCGCACTGCTCGGCGGCCCCACTGGCACTTTGCCTCGGCGCAGATACCTTTGTTCCACTCGGCTGCCGCACCATACGGGTTCTTGACATCGTGACTGTGTGTTGCGCCTTGGGCTTCGCTGAGACTTTCCCCTGCTGCTGCTGCTGCTGAAACTTGCTGCGGCGCCCCTCCACGAGCTCACTGCTCTGCGCACGGTGTGAGACCACTGTAGACGTTGGAAAAAGCGGCACAGACGCCGTCCGCACAGCCGCGCGCGGTCTTGTTGCCGCTGCTGCTAATGCATTCCTGAGGTTTGTTGGAGTTGTGGTCGTTGCCACTGATCGCTCCCGTTGCGTAGGTGAGACGCCGTACTGTGTGGAGGAGGCAAGGCGCATGTACCACGGCTGCAGCGACGTCGCACCCCCACGCAGTGGTGCCGGCGTGCCCTGCTGCTTGGGCCTCAGCGAGGGCGGCCGAAGCAGCAGCAGCGGTCGGGCGACACCAGTCTCGCCGCCCCTCGCCTTTCCCCCGCGTGTGGGCAAGAGCGCAACCTTTTTTGATGCAGGAGAGAGCCCTGGTGCGGCTCTACTTGCGGGGGACGCGGTAAAGGGCGACTTTTCACGCCTCTGTCTCTGTTGCTGTGGCGTGCACAGCGTCTGCTGCTGTTGTGACTGCTTTGGCTGCGGTGAAGTCTCTGCAGCGCACACCGGGTTGAAAGAAAACGGCGCCGCAGCGCATGTGTAAGAGCGCGCCCGCCGATACATCTGCTGCTGCTGCTGGAGTAGCGGTTGCTGTTGTTGGTGTTGTTGCTGATGCCGTGAGAAAGCAATACCAGAAGAGCGACCGTTCGGTGCGGACACCGTCGCACTTCGCCGAAACGTCACGACTGCATGCTTCACTTCCCTCTCCTTGCCTGGAGTCTTGGCATTGCCGCTCACGTTGCTAATGTTGCTGTTGTTGTTATTATTGATAAACCTGCTGGTGCTCGTTGCGGCCTTCGGTGCGTATTGCGCAACTAAGTACTTCCTCACAGAGCCACCTTGCACTGGTTTGCTGCAACTGCTGCTGCAGCTGCTCATGTTGACACCCTCAGCGCCTGCACCTACGTTCTTCCTGTGTGCCGCCCCTGTTTCCTCCACAGCAGCAGTGGGTGGCCACCGCACCCGACGTTTGGGCGGCCGTGGCGGAGATGACGAGTGTCCACGTGTGTTTGGAGTTTTATCGACAGCCCTCATGGATACTAACTTTGCATTGCCTTGTCTGTCGTGTGCGCTAGCCGCCTCTGTAACAGCGGCAGAAGCAGCAGTAATGGGAGTCCGAGTCCTGTCAGTCTTCTTCTTATAATGTAGAGTTGTGTTCTTCCCTGCAACGTCTCGGTTGCTGCTACTGCATATCTCCATCATATTGTGTACGCCTTGTGCTCCACGTGTTGTGGTGTCCTCGTGCCCCAATTAAACCACTCGCCGTTGCTGTATGTGTGCTGCCCTTTGTCTCTCCCCCCTGTTCGTCGTCTTGCCACCCTTCTGGAATATATAAATATAAATATATATTTATACGTCTGCGTATGTATGAATGAATGTATGAGTCTAAGTGCTTCTGGCCGCCCCGTCCCACCACCACCACCTCGTCGCTGCAAGAGGTGTGGGCCGTGCGCGCTGTACTGCGTTCCACACCCCCCCCTCCTCAATCACTGCAGACGCAGCGCATATCAGAGAAAAAAAAAATGAAGAGACAGCAGACATGGAACAACAATTGTAGTAGCCCTGCAGGCCCATCGTCTCCGCACCACACCCACACGCAGAGGGAGAGAGAGAGACCCTGACACACAGCCTGAGCAGCACACGAAGGAGCGGGGCCCCAACTGTGATGGAAGCTGACACAAGGGAGAGATAGAAACAAAAAAAAAAAATGATGAGTACGATTATGATGATGGCGATGAAAGACACACACACAAACACACACACACACACACAGAGAAAGAATGCATGAATTCTTTTGCTCCGCAGACTCATTGCTGTGCAGCGCAATACGCTGTAGATATATATATATATATATAAATATAGATTGATTGATAGCAAGACGTGCTTTCAACGGAAGAAACAAAACGGCAGAAGCGAGCACGGTGAGATATAAGCAGCAAGGATACGAAAGCAAACAAACACACACACACACACACACACACACACACAGAGAAAGAATGCATGAATTCTTTTGCTCCGCAGACTCATTGCTGTGCAGCGCAATACGCTGTAGATATATATATATATATA